ATATTTCTGTTAGTCTTAAAGGTGCCACAGGACCCTCTGTTGCTTTTTACAGATTCAGACTAACACGGCTACCCCTCTGATACTAGAATGTAAAAGTGCTTGCTTAAGATATAGTGGACCATTGTGCAAATGGAAGCCTAAGCTGAATGGTGCATTGGAGGTATCAAGGGTCTCACAGAGTTTGGCTGCTTACAGGTCTTTTGGGAGTAGAGCCCGAATAAGAGATGGTAAATTCTGGGCTGTTGTTCCACCAACAGAATTAGATGGTCATAGCACAGTGTTTTGGGGAGTGGTGTTCAGCACAGCATATTTGTCCTTGTGGGAAAGGCCGTCTGCTTTCGCTTTCTGTGATGCAGGGCAGTAGGTAATACTGAAATCAAATCCGGCAAAGAAAAGTGACCATGGATCTGATGATTAAGCCATTCAAAGATATTCTAAGTTCTTGTGATTGGTGATGACCTGGATCAGGAACTGAGCCACTCCAAAAAGTGTCGCCATTCTAGTCCCAGTTATCATAGTTCTTCTCAGCAGGGGTTAGTTTACGTGAATAATACACACATGGATGGAGTTGGTGATGCGGGCCTGCATTTTGTGAAAGTACAGCCCTGATTGCAACGTTTGAGGCATCTGCTTCTATGGTAAAAGGTTTGGATACACAAGAATGAGAGCTGAAGGGAAGACTTTCTTTAGCTTACTGGAAGCAGACTGTACTTGGGGAAGATGATAAAGCCAATGAACTCAATAGTGTCCTTATAAAATTTGCATTTCTCAGGTTTGATGTAAAGTTTGTTCTGGTGGAGTCAGTCAAGGATGTTGCGGACATGTTGCTCATGTAGTTTCTGGTTTTGGGGGAAGACAAGAATATCATCTAAATAAACAACAAATTGTTCCAGCATGTCCTGAAAATAGTCATTTACGAAATGCTTCAACATAGAGACATTACTTAGCTCAAATGGCATAACTAGAACATAAGAACAGCCATACTGAGTCAGAACAAAGGTCCATCTAGCCCAGTATCCTGTCTTCCGACAGTGGCCCATGCCAGGTGCCCCAGAGGAAATGAACAGAACAGGTAATCCTCAAGTAATCCATTCTCTGTCAGTCATTCCCAACTTCTGGCAAACTAAATACTCAAAATGCCTGAATGGAACCTGGAACACATCTTCCACTCGTCACCTTCCTTGATATGAACCAGATTGCAGAGTCGGTGAAGTTCAGGGAAAAAACAGCCAAGCAAAGTATTTCAAAAAGTTCATTAAGTGGCAAAGGGTAGCGATTTCGAACAGTCACTCTATTAAAAGACCAGTGATCAATGCAGGAGCCAGGGAAATGTCTTTTTTCACAACAAAAAAGATTGGAACCCCTGCCGGAAAGGCAGAAGGACAAATAAACCCCTTCTGGAAATTGTTATGGAAGTATTCCTGGAACATTTGAAGGTTCAGTACTGAGAGGGAGTATGAAGTAATCATAATTGTGATGTGATGGTAAGACATCTGCTCTCTTTTTATCAAGTACATCAGCGAAGTCTTTATTTCCCCGCAATACCTGAAATGGGTGAGAGGGTGATGGAGAGGGCGGCAGCTATCTTTGAACTTCCCCCTTCAGCAGCTCCATTGTGAGAGGGTTTGGATCTGACACCAACCTTGGGAGTCGTAACTGGCAGCAGAATCTTGATATAAAGTACACCATGCCTGATCCTTACTGGATGCGCAGGTCATGGGCAACCAGCCAAGGAATGATGGGGGAGCGAGTGGCACAAATCAGTCCAAATTGCAGAATTTCCTGGTTGACCTGGAGTGTAATCAGAATCAGCAGTGTCATCTGGTGAATAACAGGGCCAGAGGAGGGGGGGACCCATCAATGGATTCCATCAAATCAGAGATGCTGTTTCACTGATTGGGAATGTTATGGGTCCAAGTAAAATCTAGGTCCATGTTGTCAGAGGCCCGAGTCCACCAGTGCCCTTAGCTAAACCTCAAATATGGCAGGGTGTTGTAGCCAAAGAGGAAGTTGGAGGGTGGTGGCTCACTAGCCAACTACAGCCAGGATACTGTTTGACATAAAGGGCTTTCCCAACCGGGACAGGACACGAGTCTTACTGAGACACCACTGCACATAGTGCCCGGGTTCCCCGCAATATAAGCATAAATCTAGAGCTCATTGCAGGTTCCTTTCTGTGTTGGCAAGGCAAGGTCAAATTTCTACACCCACAGGCTGAAGAAAACTGAACTCCCTTTCTAGTTGACATTTGGCCAGGTGATCATCAATGCTGATGCACAACTTGACCAGAGCATTTAGGTCAGACAGTGGCTCTACCCGCACCAGCTTGTCCTTGACTTCTTCATTCAAGCCATGCCGGAAATGGTAGTGCTGTGCTGCATTGCTTCATTCCATCTAGTTTCAGCCACTAAGTGCCAGAATTCCATGGTGAATTTGGCGAATGGTCTGTTCGCTAGCGTAGGAGCCAAAGCACCCTTGGCAGAGCAGGTACAGTTCAGGTCATCGAAACAACTGCCGTGTCTTCATGGAATTACTCAAGCTGCCCTAGCAAGGGGCTGAAAGTCTCCTGGAGAGGGACTTCCAGGCCAGGGCCTTCCCAGTTAACAGGCTGATGAGCCTAAATCAGGACTGGTCAGTGGGACGTGACAGAGGTCATCACATGAACAGGAGGCAGCACTGATTCAGGAAGTTGCAAAATTTCCCACAGTCACTGTCAAATTGGGCTAGCAGCAGAATTTTCAGTTCCTGAGGTACCTGAGCCCTGGATAATGAGACCTGTGCCTGCAGGGCCATGATTTGGGTCTGTAGCTTCTGCAAGGTGCCCATTACCTCTGTGAGGAAGACAGAGACTTTAATGGGGGTCAACCTCACAGAAGAACCTCCTCTTCAGTCTTTCTCTTGCAGGCTGCTCAATCTGTCAGGAACAGGACTGGGAGGTTAGCAGTTGGTCTTAGTGGTTGGAGCCATGGGAGTGGCCAAGTCTGGAGGTTAGGGCTGAGCGGAGAATCTGAGTCATGGGACGTCCAGGGGCATAGTCAAGAGCAAAGCCGAAGTCAGAGCCAGGGATCAGAAGCCGAATACCAGAGCCAGTGGGTGAACTGAAGTCATGGTCAGGAAGCGGAGCCACGGATAGAGAGGGGCAGGCACAAGAGCAGGCTGGGCAGGAACAGGTGCACAAAGCAGGAACTGGAGCTGTCACAAGAGCAGGCACAGGCTGGAAGAGTGCAGGAGCAGGCACTGGGGAAACATGATCAAACACAGCTGCAGTGTGGGATGCATTGAGCAGCCATCAAGCTCTGGCTGCTGCTGGGTCAAGTAGTAACTTAGTCCCGCCCCTCCACCAATCAGGAAGTGCAATCGGACAGCCCCTGCCAGGATCAGCTATGCTCATTCTGTTGGTAGGAGATTGACTATGCTGCAATTGGCTCCCTGACATCTGCATCAGCTGTTATTAAAAAGCATTTCTTGGGTCATCCCTCTCTACAGGCAGCAGCTACAGCAAACCCTTGAGCGGTGCTTTAATGTTCTTGGCATCCGTTCACATGATCTATATAATAGAGGCTTTGTCTGTCTCAGAGAATCCAGACAATAGTCTGATTCATAAACTTCAAATTCAGCGGCTCATGAAAAGTATGACTGGGTTAGTGATTCTAAACAGTGGTTCCAATTCCCCAGTTAAGGGAAGTTCTCACCAACCTGAGCAACCACAGATGATGTGATTGTATGGTATTGCTCACTGTTGGAAAGTCTCAACTCCCATCACAGAGGGCTTATTCAGTAAGAGAATTCATGTTGAGTTGTTCTAGTGGGACACACACTCACACTCTTAACAGCATGAACAGCTGTCTGATCATCCAGGATTCTGAATCCAATTATATAAATTAATAGGTAAGTCACATACAGCAGATTGTGTGATTTTGATCAGCCAAATCTGAACTAAAGATTAAATCCTTGTTAACTTGATCCTATATGAATTGACTTCCATTTGGTAAACCTTTTTTTTTTTTATTTTTTAAGGTAAGTCGGGGGCAAAAGAGACTCTGGTTTCTCCAGTATTGTCCAATAGGCATTGTTATCTGCTGAGTTCTGTGGTACAGAATCACAGGGTTTCTGCTACTTTGTACTTGACCAAACAGTAGTGTCACCCTGAAGACAGAATGTCATCTTTTGAATATTAGAGGGAAAACTAGCTTTGTTCTTTTTTCCTAGTTGGAAGACACTTCTGATGAGACCTATTTGAACCATCACACCAAGTATGAGGAGCTTGAACGAGCCCGATGGGATTCGTGGGCAGCAGCTGTTTCCCACAAGCGAGGAAACAGGTATCAATTTCTCATTAGCACTACATAGCAAGGCATGGAAGCAAGAATCTTTATTTCCTCTTCATGTTAAACTATACAGAGATCCTGCTTTGGGGTTGTCACATTTTGGATTGCACTCCAGACCAGTGAGGGGTTGTGGTGTTGTAGCTCCCAACGTGGGCCACTCACAACATGTGTTTTACACTGACCAGCTCTCTCCTGGACAGTTCAGGTATTAAAGATCCATTGTCTCTGTAAAGGGTTAACATTCAACAATCTGCTTCTTGAACTGTTAGCAAACGGTTCAGTTTAAACACAGCACTGGATTGGTTAGATTAAAAAATAAAACAAGATTATTAACAAAAGAAGATAGGATTTTAAGTGGATTCAGGTACCAGGTATTAATGTCAGAAATGGCTACAAGAGAAATAAAGACAAAATGTTTTCTAGTAGCTAAAATTTAACAAGCTAGATTTGGTTCAAGGTAAAATCCTTACAATATGTTCCCAGCAATAAGGCTGACCAAATTCTCAAGTTGGACCTTCCCCAAAAATAAAAAGGCTGGTTCCTTTGTCATCTTAGGGGAAAGAGAGAGAGCTAGAGCTTGGGGTTCTTCTTCGAGTGCTTGCTCATTTCTATTCCATATTACGTGTGTGCGCTCGCCACATGCACCGGTGTCAGAAGTTTTTCCCTCAGCAGTATCCATAGGGGACCGGCTCAGACACCCTCTGGAGTGGCCACTGCTGGAACATCATCTGCTTCGGCTAGCATTGTTTCGTTCTCCGTTCTTGTGAACTTTGAAAACCTGTAATATAATTGTATCTAGTTAATAGTTGAATTAGTTACTCTTAGTAATAGTTCTTGAACTCTTCGTTAGTTGGGGGGGAGGGATAGCTCAGTGGTTTGAGCATTGGCCTGCTAAACCCAGGGTTGAGAGTTCAATCCTTGAGGGGGGCCACATAGGGATCTGGGGCAAAATCAGTACTTGGTCCTGCTAGTGAAGGCAGGGGGCTGGACTCGATGACCTTTCAAGGTCCCTTCCAGTTCTAGGAGATGGGATATATCCATTAATTTCTATTTCTTTTCTTTTCCGAATGGGACTCGGACGGGGCATCCCCCATCCCCAGGCCTTAAGCCTGGTTGCAAACGGCCTATGCCCATCAATGATCCGCATAGTAGCTGCTTACGGTGCTTGGGCGAGGGCATATAAGTGACAAGTGTCGTCTTTGTAAGTCATTCAAACCTAGGATGAAAAAGGAGCAGGACAATCACTTAAAGGTGCTCCTGATGCAGTCAGCACTCACTCCGGCATTGGAGCAACGTTCCAACTCAGCACCGAGCACTGCAGCGTCAGCCCCCCTCCGGCCAAGAAGCCAAAGAAGATGGGGAGGAGGAAGATCGCCTACTTCCCTCAAGGGAAAAGACGGCTGGGGGTGAGCCAAGACCGACGCCAGGCAGCTCAACGCCTCCTTTGGGAAGTCAGGCCCCAGCTCAAGCCGAGCAGCGCAGCCCATCCCATGCTTTGCCTGCAACTCCAGATAGCGATACAGGCCTCCGCCAGCTACAAGTGCTGTCAAGGCCCTGCAGGCAGTTCAGGAGATCCTGATGCTTCCGGTGCTGCCCACATTAGCTCCAGCAGTATCCAGGTCTCGAGGTAAACCCGGCTTGGGATCTCCGCATGTCCCCTCCTCAGTGGCACCATTCCCCTTCGTGTGGAACATCCTGCCACCGCTCACCTGCCTGAAGCCGTCACGCCTCAGATAGGCAGGCTCAACGGAGCCCTCTTTGATCCCGGACCTTGGGCACAAACTGCGAGATTCGAGGTGTACCTCCCTGGTAGTATGGTGCAGACACACTGAGGCGTGCGCCCCCAGGCAGGAGCACCGAGACCAACCCCTCACATCGCCAAGAGCTCGGTACATATCCAAGGGTCGAGGTCACCAGACTGCTGTTGTTGATCTCCGAGACTGGGATCGCCACGTTTGGGGAGTTCCTCCTGGCATCTGGTGCGTGATAGCTCCCGGTCCCGCTCAACATCCCAGTTGGGAAGAATAAGGCGTAGATCACCGGGTTTCCGACGCTGATACACCAAAGGCCATCGGTCCCCGAGGCCCCAGCCAAGGCATTCGTCCCGCTTGGACAGGTCTGCCTCCAGGCGCAGTGACCAGCACCAGTCAGGATAAGAGCCACCGCTCCGCCTGATCCTGGTCGCTGGGTAGCAACTGCTCCGGCACCGAGCAGGGCCCTCTAACTGTGGGACAGTCTCTGGCTCCTGCAGTGCCACCTACATCATCAGCACCAAAACCTGTCCCATGGCCCTAGGCACAATGGCCGGCGCCATAGAACCCCTGGGGGTTCACCCAGCCTTCCCAGGTGTTGGTGTTGGGAGCTTCGGACAGGCCTGCGGCCTCGGCATCCCGACCCCCTCCAGTGCCCGAGACTTTCGGGGGGAAGGACCCCACAGTTCCAGAAGGGCTCGGGGGAGCAGCCTGCTAGACCACCAATGAACATGGAAGTCCCTGCGGTACTGGCATCATCCTCGTCATCGCCAGACGAGGCTATGGAGCCGCCTCACCCAGTTCCTCAGGATGGCGCTAAGGCACACCAGGAACTATTGAAGAGGGTTGCATTTAACCTGGGGCTCCGGGCTGAGGAGTTGGAAGAACCTTTGGACTCCTTGTTTGATGTCCTCTGCTTCTTGGCCCCTGCCAGGGAGGCCCTTACTCCTTCATGAGGGGGTATCAAAGATTACCACCACCCTGTGGCAGACTTCCTCCTCCTTGCCCCCATCTCTAAAAGGGTCGAATGCAAGTACTTTGTGCAAACAAAAGGGCATGAGTACCTATACTCCGACCCGGCCCCCAATTTCCTTGTAGTTGAGGCGGTTAACCACAGAGAGAGGCAAGGCCAACCAGGGGCTACCCCCAAAAATAAAGACTCAAGGAGGCTGGATCTTTTGGGGCGTAAGACTTATTGTCTTCCAGCCTGCAACTGAGCGTGGTCAATCACCAGGCCCTCCTTGGCTGCTATGATTACAACATGTGGCAGGCTATGGGCAAGTTCCAGGCTTCGCTTGAGGAGGGCACGACAGCAGCCAGAGCAGCCCTCCAGGCGGCTTCTGATGCGGCGGACTCCAGCCCACACCATGGCCTCTGCCATCTCCATGCGGCAAGCTTCCTGCCTACTCCTCCCAGGCTTATCCACCAAGGCTCAGCGGTCGATGCAGGAACTTCCCTTCAATGGCCAGGCCCTATTTGCAGAACAGACTGATACCAAGCTGCATGGTTTAAAGGACTCCCATACCACTCTGAAAATGCTGGGGTGGTACGTCCCAGGCCCAGCACGTAAGCAGTTCAAAGTGCAACAGCCTCAGGGACAAAGGAGCCAGCCTCAGCAGGACCTGCCTCACAAAAAGGCCAAGCGACCGTTTTGAGGGTGCGCCGGAGGGCGACCTACCAGACCATTCCCCAGATCCATCTTCCCTGTTTTTTTCCAACCGCCTTTCCCTTTTCCTCCCTGCATGGACCACAATAACCCCAGACCGTTGGGTCCTGAACACAGTGGTGCAGGGCTATACCCTTCAGTTTCTTTTTATCCCCGCCCCCCCTTCAGGGATCCTTCACAGGAGGTTCAAGGTTTGCTGCAGATGGGGGCGGTGGAGGAAGTTCCTCTAGAGTACAGGAATGGGGGGGGGGGGCGTTTATTCACAATACTTTTTAATCCCAAAGGCCAAGGGCGGTCTGCATCCCATTTTGGACCTGCGAGACCTCAACAAGTACCTAAAGAAGCTGAAGTTCTGCATCGTCTCCCTGGCCTCTATCATCCCCTCCCTGGATCCAGGAGACTGGTATGCCGCCCTTAACTTAAAGGATGCATATTTTCACATAGCGATCTTCTAAGGGCACAGACGTTTTCTCCATTTCATGGTGAGATCGGTCCACTATCAATTTACGGTCCTCCTGTTTGGCCTGGCGACTGCACCGAGAGTGTTTACCAAGTACATGTCGGTGGTGGCGGCTTACCTCAGGCGCTGGGGTATCCAGATCTACTTGTACCTTGATGACTGGCTCATCAAGGGCAGCTCCAGGTCTCCGGTGCAAAGGGATGTTGCGGTGCTGCAAGCCACTTGCCACTCCCTGGGTCTACTGGTGAATGACAAAAAGTCCACGTTCATGCCAGTGCAAAGGATAGAATTCATTGGAGCGGTGCTCGACTCAACCTGCGCGAGAGTGTTCCTGCCGCTAGAAAGCTTTTGGGCCTTGACAGACCTTATCACAGAGGTATCTGCATTTCCTTGGGCTGGGCCACACATATGCTGGGCCACATGGCAGCTTGCACGTACATTGTCCACCATGCCAGGCTCGGGATGAGGCCCCTACAGCAGTGGCTGACGACTGCCTATTCCTAGTCCATGGAGTTGATGTCAGATGCCTTGGCTGAAGTGCGCACCTTGGAGATCTCCAGACCCAGGGTATGTGGTCCTTGGGGGAGATGGTGCTCCATATAAATGTCAAAGAACTCAGAGCGGTTTGATTGGCATGCAGCATCTTCCTACCTCACCTGTCAGGCAAGGTGGTGAGAGTCCTAACAGATAACACAGCCTCGATGGTCTACATCAACAGGCAAGGGGGAGCGTGCTCATCGCCTCTCTGCCAAGAGGCACTCTGGCTCTGGAACTTCTGTGTCAACGATGAGATCCACCTGGAGGCTTGTCACCTCCCTGGCATCAAGAACACGCTAGCGGATCACCTCAGCAGGGGGTTCTCCTCTCACCACGAGTGGTTGCTCCACCAGGATTTAGTCTACATGGTCTTCCAGAGGTGGGGAACTCCCCAAATGGACCTGTTCACCACCAGGCAAAACAGAAAATGTCATCGGTTTTGCTCTTGGCAAGCTCTGGGCGATGCCTTCTTCCTGTCTTGGTCAGGGGGCCTGATGTACGCATTCCCTCCGATCCTTCTCATCACCAAGGTCCTGGCAAAGATCGAGAGAGACAGGGTGCGGGTTATCATGAGTGCCCCAGCGTGGCCTTGCCAGCACTGGTTCGGCACACTCATGAACCTATCAGCGGTCCCTCCCTGGCCCCTGCCCAACCGACCGGACCTTCTGTCACAGGACCATGGTCGGCTGATACACCCCAACCTCTGGTTCCTCAACCTCTCGGCGTGGATGCTGCATGACTGAACCCGGAGGAGTGGACCTGTTTAGAGCAGGTCCAACAGGTCCTCCTCGGAAGTAGGAAGCCCTCAACTAGACTGACCTACCTGACCAAGGGGATGAGGTTTTCCCACTGGGCCTCCGAGTGTGGCCTCTCTCCCTCGTGATCTTCCATACAGGCTGTCCTAGACTACCTGCTTCATTTGAGGAACCAAGACCTGGCACACTCTTCTGTTAGAGTGCATCTCGTGGCCATCTCAGCTTTTCACCTGCTGATCCAAGGACAGACGGTGTTTTCCCGTGACATGACTGTCAGATTCTTGAGAGGGCTCGAGAGATTCTTCCCGCAGGTACGGACTCCTGTCCCACAATGGGATCTTAACTTGGTCCTCTCTAGGCTCACAGGCCCACCCTTTCAGCCGCTGGGTTCCTGTTCCCTTTCCCATCTGTCATGGAAGGTCACATTCCTGGTGGAGGTGACATCGGCGAGACGAGTCTCTGAAATTAAAGCCTTGACCTCAGAACCGCCGTACGCTGTCTTCTACAAAGACAAGGTTCAGCTGCGGCCCCACCCAGTCTTCATATTGGTGTCGTCCTTCAATATGAACCAGGACATTTTCCTCCCAGTGTTCTGTCCAAAACCACACAAGACTAGTGAAGAGAGGCGTCTTCGCATGCTGGACGTCCAAAGGGCCTTGGCTTTTTACTTAGAACGTACCAAGCCTTTCCGTAAACCAATTCAGTTCTTCATCGCTACAGCGGATAGGATGAGAAGGGCCTTCTGGTGTCATTGCAGAGGATTTCCAATTGGATTATCTCATGCATTAGGACCTGTTACGAGCTGGTGGGGGTTCCGCCACCGCCGATTGTCAGAACCCACTCGACTAGAGCACAGGCGTTTTTGGCGGCCTTCCTGGCGCACATCCCTGTACAGGACATCTCTAGAGCCGCAATGTGGTCCTCCGTCCATACGTTCATGACCCATTATGCCATCACTCAGCAAGGCAGGGATGATGCTGGGTTCCACAGAGCTGTGTTGCAATCTACACGTCTGTGAACTCCTACCCACCTCCAGGGGTATTGCTTAGGAGTCACCTAATATGGAATGGACATGAGCAAGCACTGAAAGAAGAAAAGAAAATTACTTTTTCCATAACTGGTGTTCTTCGGGATGTATTGCTCATGTCCATTCCACGACCCGCCCTCCTCCCCCATTGTCGGAGTTTCCAGCAAGAAGGAACTGAGGGTGGGGGGAGCTGGCAGCGCCCCTTATACCGTGCCATGCAGGCACCACTCCAGAGGGCGCCAGAGCAGGTCCCCTATGGATACTACTGACAGAAGAACTTCTGGCACTGGTGCATGTGGCGAGCGCACACACCTAATATGGAATGGACAGGAGCAACACATCTCGAAGAACACCAGTTACGGAAAAGGTAACTGTCTTTTTTCTGCCCCTTTCTTTTGTAGTCCAGTTAACCTTGGAAATGGATTCTTCTCAGGGTTACCCCTCAAAGCAATATTTATTCAAAGAGTGAAGAAGGTGACATGGAGTCTGGTGGCGAAGGAGGTTCCATGTTCTTTGTTCTCACCTATGTTTACTGAAATGCAGTTTTCTTTGTCTCCTGCCATCTCCTCTCCCTACTGTCTCAAGGACCCTGTTTACTACTTATATGTAAATTGAGGTAAACGGACCATTTCTTCATTCAGGATACTTCTGTCTAGGCTGGGCTGCATAGTTTGAACATATCTTAAGAACATCATACAGGGGGATTTAATAATTTTATGTATATTATTTCACCATGATATTATTGACCAGTGAGTTTAGTTTTCAAATGGTATGTCATAAAGCATATTTTGTACAAAGATTATTATAACAGCATGTAGGGTGTGAATACAGGGGTGCTTTTGGTCACGGTTCCAAGGTATTTGACTTAATACCACATGACATCTTGATTTTTTTTTTAAACTTGCATTATATGGAGTTAACCAGGAACAAGTTACACATTAGATGTGTTAAAAATTGGCTCAACTGATGGATCTAAAAATGTAGTTGTTAACTGGAGATATCAATGGTAGAGACTGTTTCTAGAAGGGGTCCCCAGGAATTGGTTCTTGGTCCAATGCTATTTAATATTTTTATCAACTATCTAGACAAAATTAAATTTTTGATAAAGTTGTCAAATGACTCAAAGATTGGTAGGTGGAAAATAATGAGGAGGACAGGTGACTGTTACTGAGTGATAGGGATCACCAGTAACATTCATACAAAATGCATTTTAATAAGTCAAATACAAGGTAATGCATCTGAGAACAAAGAATACAGGTTATATCTACAGGATGGGAAAAACTGTCATGACTCAGAGAAGGACTAAAGGGTCATCATAGATCAGTGGTTTTCAACCAGGGGTATTTGTATTCCTGGGGGTACGCAGCAGTCTTCCAGGTGGAACATCAGCTCATCTAGATATTTGTCTAGTTTTACAACAGGCTACATAAAAAGTATTAGTGAAGACAGTACAAACTAAAATTTCATACAATGACTTGTTTGTAGTGCTTTATATACTATACATTGAAATGTAAGTACAATATTTATATTCCAATTGATTTATTTTATAATTAAATGGCAAAAATGATAGCAATTTTTCAGTAATAGTGTGCTGTGACACTTCTGTATTTTTGTGTCTGATTTTGTAAGCAGTTTTTAAGTGAGGTGAAACATGGGAGTATGCAAGACAAATCAGACTCCTGAAAAGTGTACAGTAGTCTGGAAAGGTTGAGAATCACGGTCATAGATTATCACCTTACCATGAGCTTTCAGTCCAATGCTGTGGCAAAAAGAGCTCATGCAGTCCTTGGATGTATAAAAAGGGGACTATCAAGTAGAAGTAGAAAAGCGACCTTGCCTCTATACACTGCATTGGTAAGACTGCTACTACCATCTTGAAGTGTGGACACCAGAACTGGATTCTATAAGGAAGTGGAAATGCTGCAGAGAGTTCAAAGAAGGGTCAGAAAAATAATCAGGAAGCTGGAAAGTAAGGAGTCTCTCTTCTTTTTGAAAAGAAGATGGAGAGATGATGTGATCACTGTGTCTAGGCACTTACGTGTGGACAAGAGGTCTTCTAGTGGGGGACTTTTCAAGCTTGCTGACAAAGGTATAACAAGAGCCAGTGGCTGGAAGTTGAAGTTGGACAAATTCAACCTTGAAATAAGATATAATTTCCTAGCAAACAATGGAACAGCTTACCAGGTGATGTGGTGGACTTCCCAATGCTCAGAGTCTGTAAGATTAAATCAAATACCTTTCTAAAATATATCCTTTAATTTTGGTCTGGGAGAAATTCTATAGCTGGGGAGTACAGGGGATGCAGAGGGAGAGGAAGGTGTTGTCAGGCTGGAGGTGCCTTCTGGCTTTGGAATCTAGGACTCTCATCAGTCCCCCATTCATCCCCTTCCTTCATGCATAATGGGGAAAACAGGATTGTCTGCATTGCTCCTAACATACTCGTTGCAGCTCTGCATTAAGACAATGACTATAATCAAATTTTGTGCGTCTGTGCATCAGCTGATCACCTGCAAGGATCAGGAAGGAATTTTTCCCCCAGTGCATAATTAGATATATTGGTTTTTTTACCTTCTTCAGAAACATCAGAGATTGGCCACAACTGGAGATGGGACACCAGGCAGGATGAACCAGTACTTAAGTGATACAGAGAATTCATTTTAAATGCCTGCTGGTGTCTTGCTCACACGTTCAGGGTCTAACTAATTGCCAGATTTGGAGTCAGGAAGGAATTTCCCCTCAGGGTCAGATTGGCAGGGATGTAGGGATTTTTCACGTTCTTCTGCAGAATGGGGCATGGATCATCTGCTGGGAAGATCTGGGCAGATGTCATTTAATCAATTTCCTGCCATTGCCGGGGCCGCAGGCATTGGTGGCACCTAAAACTCTCCTGGTCTCTGCCAGTGGCACAGCAGTTTAGTCTTCTGAGGAGTGAATGAACGCTATAGAAGTATTTGAATGAAATTTAATGGCCAGAGATATCTAGTCTGGCTTCTTTATATCACTGTCCCTTCTGGCCTTATACTTTGTGAAACTATAGTTTGTTGTAAGCAAAGAAATCCTAGGCTGCTGATGACGTGGTTCATGTAACCAGTCTGCTGTGCTGACAAGCAAAGTGTTGATGAAATGTATATAGGATAGGGCCAGCTCATCAGAGTAGTGACCCAGCATGATGTTATGCCACATGAGAAATTAGTTTCATACTAAGCTTGGGCCCTCATGTCTCATGCTAGGAACTAATAAGTTAGTGCAAACTCCATGCCCTTTTTCCAAATTATATCTCTTTTGCTTACCTAGGAGTAGAGTTGACAGATTGTAAACATGGCAATTTCTTCCAGCTCTCCTTGGTTAGACAGCAGGTCGTAACAACACAGTGGAAAGGAGAAGAGAGATTTGGAAACCTGGAGTAGTAGGGGACACAATGAACATAGGTCAGGCCCTGAGGAGGAGGTGAAAGGATTTCAAAGAAAAACATGTATTTGTACAGTCAAAAATAGGCAGGACTCTTCAGTATAACTTCCAATTACAGCAGTCTGTTTGCCTCTGTACTTAGTAGTAGATGGTTTATACTATTTTATCTCAGATTCCCCAAAGTCTCATCATGAGAAAAAGCAGCTAGCAAATGCTTTTTTAATCTTAAAATTTACCACCACCAACATTGGCAGAAATTGCCCAAGAAAATTGTGAGCTATTGTTATAGCAGACAGTGGAGGAGAAGCTGCAATTCAGGGGCAAAACACTAATTGCTGGAGACCATGACCAGCTGCTTGAATAAAGGAGGGATACAATGATTAAGTCCAGACTTATCTCAGTTTTGTGGCTCACATTTGCAATATGCAGTGGCTTATTTTTATTTGGGTTCCATGTTAGTATCTAGTTATGTGCCTGTGTCTCATAGACTTTAAGGCCAGAAGAGACCATCTAGTCTGATCTGCTGCACATCGCAGGCCACAGAACCTCACCCACCCACTCTTGTAATAGGCCTATAACCTCTGGCTGAGTTACTGAAGTCCTCAAATCTTGATTTAAAGATTTCAAGTTATAGAGAATCCACCGTGTACTCTAGTTTGAACCAGGAAGTGACCTGGTGGAGGAGTTGCATTGTATGTAAGAGAGCAGTATGATTGCTCAGAGCTCCGGTATGAAACTGGAGAAAAGCCTGTCGAGGGTCTTTGGGTTTAGAGGCGAGAGCAACAAGCATGATGTCATGGTGGGCATCTGCTATAGACCACCAGCCGAGGAGGATGAGGTAGACGAGGCTTTCTTCGGACAACTAACAGAAGTTTCCAGATCCCAGGCCCTGGTTCTTATGGGGGACTTCAATCACTCTGATATCTGCTGGGAGAGCAATACAGCAGTGCACAGACAATCCAGGAAGGTTTTGGAGAGTGGTGGGGACAACCAGAACCAACTAGGGGCCATGCTCCTCTTGACCTGCTGCTCACAAACAGGGAAGTAGATGTGGTGGCAACCTGGGCAGCAGTGATCATGAGATGGTCCAGTTCAGGATCCTGACAAAAGGAAGAAAGGAGAACAGCAGACTACAGACCCTGGACTTCGGAAAAGCAGACTCAGGGAACTGATGGGCAGGATCCCCTGGGAGGCTAATATGAGTGGGAAAGAAGTCCAGGAGAGCAAGCTGTATTTTAAAGAAGCCTTATTGAGGCCAAAGCACAAGTGGAGTTGTAGCTAGCAAGGAATGTAAAGAGTAACAAGAAGGGTTTCTATAGGTATGTTAGCAACAAGGAGGAGGTCAGGGAAAGTGTGGGACCCTTACTGAATGGGTGAAGCAACCTAGTGACAGATGATGTGGAAAAAGCTGAAGAACTCAATGCTTCTTTGGCCTCGGTTTTCACAGACAAGGGAAGCTCCCAGACTGGGCAGCACAGTATGGGGAGGAGGTGAGCAGTCCTCAGTGATGAAAGAACAGGTTAAGGACTATTTAGAAAAGCAGGACATGCACAAATCCATGGGGCTGGATGCAATATATCCGAGGGAGTTGGCTGATGTGATTGCAGAGCCATTGGCCATTATCTTTGAAAACTTGTGGCAGTTGGGGGAGGTTCCGGACTATTGGAAAAAGGCAAATATAGTGCCCATCTTTAAAAAAGGGAAGAAGGAGAATCCAGGGAACTATAGACCGATCAGCCTCACCTCGTTCCCTGGAAAAATCATGGAGCATGTCCTCAAGAAATCTATTTTGAAGAACTTGGAGGAGAGGAAGGTGATCAGGAACAGTCAACATGGATTCAACAAGGGCAAGTCATGCCTGACCAACCTGATTGCCGTCTATGATGAGCTAACTGGATCTGTGGATATGGGGAAAGCGATGGACATGATATACCTTGACTTTAGCAAAGCTTTTGATATGGTCTCCCACAGTATTCTTGCCAGCAAATTAAAAAAGTATGGATTGGATGAATGGATGGACTATAAGGTGGATAGAAAGCTGGCTAGATCGTCAGGCTCAACAGGTAGTGACCAAGAGCTCGATGTCTAGCTGGCAGCCGGTATCAAGCGGAGTGCCCCAGGGGTTGGTACTGGGGCCGGATTTGTTCAACATCTTCATTAATGATCTGGTGATGGGATGAATTACACCCTGAGCAAGTTTGCGGATGACACTAAGCTGGGGGGAGAGGTAGATGCGCTGGAGTGCAGGGATAGGATCTAGAGTGACCTAGACAAATTGGAGGATTGGGCCAAAAGAGAGATGATGAGGTTTGACAAGGACAAGTGCAGAGTCCTGCACTTAGGACGGAAGAATCCCATGCACTGCTACAGGCTGGGGCCCAACTGGCTAAGCGGCAGTTCTGCAGAAAAGGACCTGGGGATTACAGTGGACAAGAAGCTGGATATGAGTCAACAGTGTGCCCTTGTTGCCAAGACGGCTAAAGGCATTTTGGGCTGCATTAGTAGGAGAATTTCCGGCAGATTGAGGGAAGTGATTATTCCCCTCTATTTGGCACTGGTGAGGCCACATCTGGAGTATTTGTGTCCAGTTTTGGCCCTCCCACTACAGAAAGGATGTGGACAAATTGGAAAGAGTCCAGCAGAGGGCAACAAAAATGATCAGGGGGCTGGGGCACTTCACTTATAAGGAGAGGCTGAGGGAACTGGGCTTGTTTAGTCTGCAAAGAAGTGAGAGGGGATTTGATAGCTGTTTTCAACTACCTGAAGGGGGGTTCCAAAGAGGATGGATCTAGACTGTTCTCAGTGGTTGCAGATGACAGAATAAGGAGCAATGGTCTCAAGTTGCAGTGGGGAAGGTCTAGGCTGGATATTAGGAAACACTATTTCACCAGGAGGGTGGTGAAGCACTGGAATGGGTTACCTAGGGAGGTGGTGGAATCTCTATCTGTAGAGGTTTTTAAGGCCCAGCTTGACAAAAAGCCCTGGCTGGGATGATTTAGTTGGTGTTGGTCCTGCTTTGAGCAGGGGATTGGACTAGATGACCTCCTGAGGACTCTTCCAACCCTAATCATCTATGTCTATGCTGCAGAGGAAGGCGAAAAAAATCTCAATCTGACCTGGGGGGAAAACTCCTTCCTGACCCCAAATATGGTGATCAGTTAGACCCTGAGCATGTGGGCAAGACTCATCTAGGAAAGAATTCTCTGTAGTAATTCAGAGCCCTCCCACTCTATTGTCCCATCTCTAGCCATTGGAGATAATTTGCTGGTAGCAGTCGTGGATGGGCCATATGCCATTTAGCCAATCATTTCATCCCCTCCATTAAAATAATCAAACTCACTCTTAAAACAAAAGTTAGGCTTTTTGCCCCCGCTACTCCTTTAGGTAGGCTGTTTCAGACTTCACTCCTCTGCTGGTTAGAAACTTTTGTCTGATTTCAAGCCAAAACTTATTGATAGCCAGTATATATCCATTTGTTGTTGTGTCAACATTGGCCCTTAAATAACTTTGTTTTTGTTTAGGTCCTCCAACAAAACAGATGGTCGATGGACACCTCAACCAGCATCTCCAGATCCTGGATTTAATTGCCTTAATGACTTTCTCTATATGCACCCTTCTATGGGATCTCACAGCCCTGAGCCTTTTAACATTCTGCACCCCCTCTCTATAAAGAACAGGATTAGAGTGCCGCTGTCCTGCACTGAGGACACCAGACTCTCCCCAGAAATACTAAATGAAGTAATACAGGTGAGGGACATTTATTTCCTTTCTACTGTACTTACATATATTCAGGGCTGAGAGCATAAAATGTTTAGCCGTATGGAGTGGAAATCCATCAACCTCATGAAAAAACTCATAATTTACCCGTATGGAGTGGAAATCCATCAACCTCATGAAAAAATTCGTAAAAATTTGTTAGTCTCTAAGGTGCCACAAGTACTCCTGTTCTTCTTTTTTTTGAAATGTTTATGCCATCTTGGACTCAATGAGAATGAGAATTCTTCACAACTGCTTTAAAAGTTCTTGAGAGAGACAAGTGGGTGAGGTAATATCTTTTATTGGACCAACTTCTGTTAGTGAAAGAGACAAACTTTTGAACTTCAGTGAGCTCTTCTTCAGGTTTTGAAAGCTTGTCTCTTTCAAACAACAGACAGTTGTCCAGTAAAAGATATTACCTCATCTACCTTGTCTCTTATGGTAAGACCAACATGGCTACAACAGTATTGGAAAACTTTAAAGTTATTTTCAGTTTAAAAGACCTATTTGAATGTAGACCAAAACACAAACATGAGGACCTCTATAAAGAAACTACTCCAAAGTGGTAGCAATGAAACAATGTGACATGATTTTGTGAGGCACAGGGATGCGCATGGCTAGCCACAGATCTGCCCACTTCTTTACAGTGCTGATACTGGAATTCAGTTTTGTGTGAACTTCACAGAATTTCTTCGGAGATTGTAAAGCTTTGTATTTGAAACAGAGCATCTCTTCCTGATCCTACAGTGAAGTCCCACTACATTTGTGACATCACACTAAGATTATATATACATACTCATATAAATGTGAGTGTTGAAGCATACTCCAGTACATATGTCCCTTTGTAACACAGCAGTCTGCATGTTCTGCTACCTGAAATAAACCTAAACTTAGTGCTAAGTTAAGATTTTTTTTTTAACACTCAAGATCAGAGTTAGTTTGTGATCCACTGTCACTGAATTGGCTCAGTTTAAGTGTCTCCAGAGTTATGTTGGTCAAGGGATTGGGAATGGAATAAAAAGCTATCCTACTTCTAGGCCACCAATTTAAATCCATTCTAAATCCTAGTGATTGAAAGCTAAGTGACTTGTCCTGTTTGATAAAATTAAGTGGCCTTTGTGAAATGATTGGTCCTGCAGCCCATTTTCATTGGGCAGGTATCCACCCTACAAGCCACTTCATAGATTCTCCATCCTTGTTAGCAGTTTCTGTAGAAAGATCAAGGACTGAGTGC